CAGGAGAGACCATTGCTCACTTAGGGGATGTCGTGTGTTGACTAAGAATGCTCCTGTTTGTGGTGTCCTGTGTGGATGTCGCTGGTTGACTAAGCACGTTCCTGTTTGTGGTGTCCTGTGTGGATGACATTGGTTAAGAACATTCCTGTTCGTGGTGTCCTGTATGGACGTCACTGGTTGACTGAGCATGTTCCTATTCGTGGTGTCCTGCCTGGATGTCGGTTGACTAAGCACATTCCTGTTTGTGGTGTCCTGCGTGGATGTTGCTGGTTGACTAAGCACGTTCCTGTTCATGGTGTCTTGTGTGGATGTCATTGGTTAAGAATGTTCGTGTTCGTGGTGTCCTGCGTGGACATTGAGGGTTGACTGAGCACGTTCCTGTTCGTGGTGTCCTGTATGGACGTCACTGGTTGACTGAGCATGTTCCGGTTCGTGGTGTCTTGTGTGGATGTCATTGGTTAAGAATGTTCGTGTTCGTGGTGTCCTGTGTGGACATTGAGGGTTGACTGAGCACGTTCCTGTTCGTGGTGTCTTCTGTTTCTGCGGGTGCCCTAGATGTGCGTAAGACAGGTAAGGGGTGGAGGGGATACTGTTTTGCCCCAGGAAGGCCCTGCCCTTGGCCGTCAGCAGTTGGGTTGACGTGTGAGAATCAAGCTGGGTCAGCCTAGTCACCACTGGCATAGTGCAACTTCACCTCTGGGCTGGCCGTGAAGTGGTGGAATCATGCCCTTCCTGCAGCCCAGACCCAGGCAGGGGATCTGAAGGACCCGCTCTGCCCTGGGGCTCTTCTGCATTTGCCCCACACCAGGCTCCTAGGACTAATTGGGGCCTCCACCAGACTTGGTCTCAGTAACCTCTGGAGAGCCCGTACCTCTCTAGAACAAACTGATTGTTCTCAGCTTTTCCGCGGCCATAAGGACGTTATTATTTGTTTGTGTTAGTTTATTGAATGTTTTCCTTTTATGAAAAGGTCAAGAATTTGTATTCATGAGGTCAAGAGTTTGAGACCAGCCTGGCCAACATGGTGAAACCCTGTCTCTATTAAGAATACCAAAATTAGCTGGGTGTAGTGGTGTGTGCCTGTAATCCAAGATTACAGGAAAATCCTAAAAATGAAGGACTTTTGTGACCTCCTACCTGCTAATCAAATATAGAAATCTGTTCTGGACAGAGTCAGTGGCCATGCCAGGAAGCAGGCCTTATCCAGGACATACTTGGAGATGGGACCTCCTGAGACAGTTTCTGTGGGGAGGAATAGGGGTGGGAGAAAGTTGCCCAGAGCTGATGGTCCTGGCCTGGCCACTGTCCCCAGAGCCTCAGCCTCCCAGGCCCAGGCTGTGCTGAGGATGCCCTGGCTCTGGAGTGGGACTGTCTGGGTCCCTACTGACCTGACCCAGCTGTTCCTCTTGCCCTGGAGGGCCTTGTGGTTCCTGGGTAGGGTGGCCAGATAAAATACAGGATGTCCACTTAGATTTGAATTGCAGATAAACAAACGTGTGGGCCTGGCGCGGTGGCTCACGCCTGTAATCCCAGCACGTTGGGAGGTCGAGGCAGGCAGATCACGAGGTCAGATCAAGACCATCCTGGCCACCACGGTGAAATCCCGTCTCTACTAAAAATACAAAAAAATTAGCCAGGCGTGGTGGCGCGAGCCTGTAGTCCCAGCTACTCCGGAGGCTGAGGCAGGAGAATTGCTTGAACCCAGGAGATGGGGGTTGCAGTGAGCCGAGATCGCGCCATTGCACTCCAGCCTGGGTAACAAGAACGAAACTCCGTCTCAAAAAAAAAAAAAAAAAAAAAAAAAGCAGGCAGAAACCAACTCTCCCCTTGGGAACACACCATTGCCCTACACTGTTGCTTGGCTGTCCTGCTGTGACCCAGTTAAAACTTCCTCAACGAGCTCCCTGCTGCTGTCATATTCTCCGGGGGTGACGTCATCCCAGTACGCACGGCCTGAGCACCCACTGTGTGCGGGCTTGGGGGTGGAGACGTGGACGGTGAGCCCTCGGGCACACCGTGATGGTACGCATCGCTTACAGATGAGGGGCAGGGAGGGACCGTGCGGTCGGGGTGTCTCTGCATGCGGGGCTGCTGCTGTGTGGTTTTCTTTGGTATGACCCAGTACAAACTTCCTCACAGACAGAGCACAGCAGACTCAGTGCTGAAGCCCATAGGGCTGCCCTGTCCCTGACTGTCAGGTTACCCAATGATGCGTTAAGGGGCACCCCAGGGACTGCACAGTCCTAGCGGGCTTCTGAATTCAGGGGTCCTGGATTCTGACCCTGAAGGCAGCGGTTTCCAATGCTTTTTCGTGTTCACCCAGGGAAGAAGTGCCTTTTACATCTTGACCCAGCAAACACGTGATACCCGCCCACTCCGCATTATGTTTAATGATGTTTCCTAGTGTTTGTCCCTGGGTCAAGTATTTCACCAACTGTTTAATCTTCTCCACAAGCCCAGGTGGTAGCTACTGTCATGTCCCCTTTATGCAGACAGAGAGACTGAGGGGTCCACCCACTCCGCCTTCCCTGCCCACCGCCTGCACGTCGGACCCACCAATGGGTACCTGCTTGGCTCCAGGAGCCCCACGCCAGAAACCCTTGGGCAAGGTACTTCACCTGTCAAGTCACAGAGAAGCACACAAAGTGAGGGCAGGTGTAGTGCTGGCTGCACTGAGGTGGCATCTACTGTGTGCCAGGCCCCCTTCTGTCCCCTTCACGGTGTCTCAGTCTCCAGAGCGTCCATTTGGAAGCAGACCTGGAGCCATCCAGGTTGCGGTGAGGCACCGAGGTGGCAGAGCCTGTGGAGATGAGCTTGCTTGCCTGGGGGTGGTGGCCGGGCCCCCAGGGGTGGTCCTGCCTCTAGGGGACCCAGCTTGTGGCCGTGTACCGCCACCCACTTCCAGCTCTGCCACCTGCAGGTGAAGGAGGAAGGCTCAGAGGCCTGGCCTCCTGGCCAGCTCTGTCTCTGCTGGGAGGTGCCCTGGCCCCACGTTCTTCCTGAAGGGAGGAACAGGCAGCAGACGCCGCTGAGAAAGAAGTGTGGTCGATGCAGTCAGCAAATGTAGAAGACAACCCAATCCTGACCCCAATCTGAATTCTTGCTTCCCCAACCACATTTTAATCCTTGTCCTGCCCAGGGATTTTAAGGGCTGACCCAAATCCTGACCAAAGGGGAAGGATGGAAAAGGCAACAGCCTCCAGCCTCACCCCCACCCTCTATCCTCCCAGGTTTACCTCCTCCCCTCTCCTGGGTGTCTCCCAACTGGCTTGGCCCAATCCCATAGCCCCCATCGTCTTTCCCCTCCCACAGTGGCAAGCCCCTCCAAGTGACCTCTCCCTTGCCCCCCAGAACACAGTAGGTGCTCGATAAAGAACCCTGCCTTTCCTCGCCTCCAGTGTGATGCTGCACCCTCTCCATCGTAGCAGAAAGTGCGCGTGGGTTGTGAAGCCTACACGGACAGCATCGGTCGCTCTTCTGCAGACAGGCTGAAGTGTGGGGCCAAGTGCAGCAAAGACGCTGAAGCCGACATTTATGTAGCATTTATTTACGCACGGCACGCTAATCCCAACGGGGGCTGGAGCCGCAGCCCCGCCCAGCCCCACCGTGAATGCAGCAGGGGAACTCGAAGCCACAGGGCAGCCTGCACCCTTTCCTCCCACCCGGCACCACCGTGGCCTCTGCTGTCTCCCAGGAGCCCCTTGCCCCAGGTGCAGGTGTCTGACCATCCAGGAAGCAGGGTTGAGGAGCTCCCAGCTCAAGTCCAATTGCTGAGACGCACCCTGTTTTGGTGTTGCTGGGGCAGAGGGCTGATGGTGGTGCTGAAGGTTCAGGGTGGCGGTGGACCCGGGGGCCCAGCCTGGCCATGCCCCACTAAGTGACCGGGAGTGGCAGAGGTCAAGGCTGGACTCGGGAGGGGTGGGTTTGACACTCCTGAGGCCTCCCGACTGGTCCCGGCTGAAAGGACCCAGCGTGGGCCCCTTGGGACTCCGTTTCCTGGCTTGGGCGCCCTCAGCCCCCAGGCACCCTCAGCTCAGGGCTCTCAGGACCTGGTAGGGGCACAGACCCCGGCACCATTTCATGGGTTCCCACCTCCTCATGCCCCCGTGCTTTTCCATGAAATGGGATCGCCAGTGTGCTGGCAGGAACGGTGCCTGGGCATGGGGTACGCCCAGGACACCCAACACCGTCCGCAGGGTGGGTGCCGAGGAACATGAGCTTTTGACATGGCGGGGATCGAAGCGTGCGCCAGGATTTTGAGTATTAGGAGAAAAGAAACACCCCTGTCATGAAGCCACGGGCCCCTTCCTGCTTTCGAAGTTTTTTTTTTTTTAATTGATTATTTTTTTTGGGACAGAGTCTTGCTCCATCGCCCTGGCTGGAGTGCAGTGGCGCGATCTCGGCTCACTGCAACCTCCGCCTGCCGGGTTCCAGGGATTCTCCTGCCTCAGCCTCCCGAGTAGCTGGGACCACAGGCGTGCGCCGCCACGCCCGCCTAATTTTTGTATTTTTAGCACAGAAGGGGTTTCACCATGTTGGCCAGGCTGGTCTCGAACCATTGACCACCCGTGACCGGCCCGTGTCGCCCTCCCGAAGTGCTGGAATGACAGCTGTGAGCCACTGTGCCGAGAGGTTTCAAGGTGCGCAGCGCGGATGCCACTTCCTGGGAGGATAGTGGGGGGGGGTGCCCCTCCTGCGGAGCCAGAGCGCACTCTCCCTGCGGCCCCGCGGTCCTGCAGTTCACCGCCTTCCTACTCCACTTGGGGACCCTCGAGCCCGGCACCACTGCGCGCAGCTGGGAAACGCTCACAGCCCGGGTCAGGGCCCCGGACTCCAGCCGGACGGTCCCCTTGGCGCCCACAATCTCGCCCCACCCGCTCCTCCGGTGCCGCGGGCCGCTCCCCTCCCCTCTCCTTCCCTCTTCCCCCTCCCCACCCTCTCTGTCCCTCCCCTCCCCACCTCTCCTCTCCCAAGCCCCTCCCCCCTCCGCACGGGGGCGGGCTCCGCGGCCACGTGACTCGCGGCCGGGCGGGGACGCGAAGGGAGCAGCGTCGGGGGCCGCGGGCATGCAGCAGAGGTGGGTCTTCGTGCTGCTCGACGTGCTGTGCTTGCTGGTCGGTAAGAGCTGCGGGCCCGGGTGTGGGGACCCTCACGGGGCGGACACGGCCTCGGCTCTGCGCAGGTTCGCAGCGACCGGGAGGCTGTGCGCCCTCGTCCCTCCGCAGACCCCGGAGGCCGCACCTCTCTCCACGCGCTGCGCAGCGCGCACCTGCCAGGCCTCGGGGTCCCCGCATCTGGTTGAAGCGCCCGGGGCGCCGGGGCTGCCTCCCCACCCGGCAGCAGGAAGTGGCCCTGCAGGGCCGAGCTCACCTCCCTCCCGCCGCGCTGGGCCTGGGCGGTGATTCACGCGGGCGGCGAGCCCCGGGGATGGGAGCGGCCACGGATCTCCCAGGACATCGGCGCCTCTGCCCCCGGGTGGGCGCTCTGGGTGCTAGCGGAGGGGCTGACCCGGCCCTGGCGCTCAGCGCGTCGGTGGGATTTGAACCCCTGCGCCTTGGGTGGGGAAGACACTTGGAGAGAAAAGCTGGGTCCCAGGCTTCGGGGCCTCGGGAGACCCAAACCTGTCCTGCGGGTTTTCCGCCAGATGGGGTAAGCGGCGCCCCGCGGCCCCCCCAGGGTCCCGGGAACAAAGGCCTAGTGTTTGCTCTGTGGCTGAAGGGACAATGCCCCCCCCGCACCCAGCAGTTCTGTCACCACGGGGGGGCGGGGCGGGGGTGCGCTCCTCCCCAGCCCGTTTCCTGGTTCTCTGGCCAAGCCCTCTGACTTCCGAAGTAGACCCTCGTTAGGGAGGGCAAGGGGACAGCACGAGGTCCCCGTAGGGTGTCTGCCAGCCCTGGGTGCCATGTCCTGAGCAGCTGTGCTGTCAGTTACTTAAACATGTGTGTGGCTCTTTCAGGATGCCAGGCGCTCAGCAGCATGCAGATAACGGAAACGGTTCCCTTACAACGGCCTGTGAGGGAGGTGCAGCCTCGCAGAGTCGCCTGCTGGAGGCCACACAGCCGGGAGGTGCCGCCGAGGTGGGGTTGGGTGTGGCTGCTGTGTGCCCAGGGGTGGCGGCCCCGGCGAGGGCACCTCCCTCTGGGAGCTCCGGCCCATCGCAGTGCAGTCCACAGGTTCCAGACAGGGCTGTGGGGGCAGCTTGAGGGCGGGAAGGCTCCCGGGGGTCAAAAGAAGAGAAGGCGCCTGTTCCGGGGACCCCAGGGCGAGCTTTCCAGGCAGAGGGAAGCCCGGGGCGGTTGTCATGGGGTGTCTGAGTCTCTAGCTGGAGTTACTGGGGCAGGGAGGTGGGAAACGGAGGCCCACCTGTGTGAGCCTCCGCCTGTTGAGAGCCGCGGGAGCGGCTGGAGTCCTGTGACCCTGACCTTCGACTGCGCGGCAATTGCAGGAGCCTCCTCCCTGGTCTCTGCCCTCACTTACAGTGGCGCCAGCCGCCCCTGCGCCCCAGCAGAAGCCGGGCTCTTACATGGCAGCCCCCTCTGCCCCAGCGCTCGCCTCCCCAGGCACCGTCCCGGCTCCGGCCCCCGCGCTGCCCGTTCATGTTCTGCATTCCCTCCGCCCTGTGAGGCAGACCTCTGCAGTCTTCACTGCATTATTGCCCCAGACTCAGCCAGCATCAAAGGCGTGCCGTGTCCTAGGACCCTTGCAGCTGGCATGCAGGGAGGACTGTGAGGCCCTCTGTCCCTCCTCAGACTCTCAGAATTCAGAAGAGCCACACTCTTTTGTCCTTGCCCTGCTGGGCCAAAGGACGCCCTGCCTTCGTTTCTCTCTGGGGTAGACACCCCGCCCTTTTGCTGTGCACCTGCCGCGTGGAACAGGGAGCCGCCCCCGCCCCTGCTCTCTGTAGCTGACGCCGGCTTCCCTGGCCACCCTCGGCTCAGCAGGGCCCTGGAAGCCCCAGTGCCATGTGACGCCTTCCCTAAGTGTGGAATTCAGGAGAATGTGCCTTTGATCCCTGAGTCACTGTGTGGCTGGCATGTGCCCTGGCATGAGGGTCAGTGGCGGGCAGGGGCGAGCATGAAGGCACCTCCACTGTGCCCCTGCTTTGGCCCTTTCCTGACTTCTCTGGCCAGCTCTTAGGTTGAAATAAGTCCTGCCTGTTTTAACAGATGTTTATTAAACATCTGCCCTGGCCAGGCTCTGAGCAGCCTCCAGGGTCTCTGTCCTGAACACGATAGGCCCCTCCTGGTGCTGGTGGGTGGAGTGGGGGAGATTAAGTCCAGTGTCCCACAGGTGACTGCATAATTCCACATGGGACAAGAGGGAAAAAGAGCAGATCTTCCCTTTTATTTTTATTTATTTATTTTCTTTTTATAAATTGAGACAGAGTCTCGCTCTGTCTCCAGGCTGGAGTGCAGTGGTGCGATCCCGGCTCACTGCAAATTCCATTTTCCGGTTTCAAGCAACTCTCCTGCCTCAGGCTCCCGAGTAGCTGGATTACAGGCACGCGCCGCCATGCCTGGCTAAACCGACCTTTCCTTTTGTGAGAGGGACGCCAGCGTGGACAGCCGGGATGGGAGACGAAACTGAGCGGAAGTGAGAGTCACTTTGCTGCCCGGCACGTTGTCTCACACCTGTAATCTCTGCACTTTGGGAGGCTGAGGCTGGGGGGTCGCTCCAGCCCAGGAGTTTGTGACCGACCTGGTCAACATGGTACCCGTCTCTACTTTTTTTTTTTTTTTTTTTTGAGACAGAGTTTCGCTCTTGTTACCCAGGCTGGAGTGCAATGGCGCGATCTCGGCTCACCGCAACCTCCGCCTCCTGGGTTCAGGCAATTCTCCTGCCTCAGCCTCCTGAGTAGCTGGGATTACAGGCACGCGCCACCATGCCCAGCTAATTTTTTGTATTTTTAGTGGAGACGGGGTTTCACCGTGTTGACCAGGATGGTCTCGATCTCTTGACCTTGTGATCCACCCGCCTCGGCCTCCCAAAGTGCTGGGATTACAGGCTTGAGCCACCGCGCCCGGCTCCGTCTCTACTTTTAAAAATAAAAATAAGATACTTTGGGCAGAGAAGTGCCTGTGCAAAGGCCCTGAGGTGAGCGTTTGCCCGGTTTGTTCGAGGAGCAGAGGGGAGGGTGTGAGGGGGAGAGGGCCTGGGGAGTTCGTGCTCATCTGAGGGCGATGGGAAAGGGGTGTCGCTTGGGCCCCCCACGTGCTGTGAGAAGAGCTCTTCATTGCTGTCGGTGGGAGCAGCGGTGCGAGGCCTTGAGGCAAGGCAGGTGTGGGGGGCCCACGGACCAGCCGGCTGGAGAACCTCGCAGCTCCAAGGCCCTTCTCCCCCTCTAGCCTCCCTGCCCTTCGCTGTCCTGTTGCTGGTGAACGCCCCATATAAGCGGGGATTTTACTGCGGGGATGACTCCGTCCGGTACCCCTACCGTCCAGACACCATCACCCATGGGCTCATGGCCAGGGTCACCATCACGGCCACCATCATCCTTGTAAGGCAGGAGGGGTTCAGAGGGACAGGGAGGGGGGCGGGATGGGGTATAGCCTTACCCTCGGCTCCTGATGGGGGGTGGCCTGAAGATCTGTGGGGGGCTGGGGGACACAGCCTTGCCCCAAGTGGTACTTGTGGGTAATAGGAACCCCCTTTTGTTTTTTGAGACAGAGTTTCGCTCTTGTTGCCCAGGCTGGAGTGCAATGGCAGGGTCTCTGCTCACTGTAACCTCCGCCTCCTGGGTTCAAGTGATTCTCTTGCCTCAGCCTCCCCAGTAGCTGGGACTACAGGCATGCGCCATCACACCCGGCTAGTTTTGTATTTTTAGTAGATATGGGGTTTCACCATGTTGGTCAGGCTGGTCTTGAACGCCCGACCTCAGGTGATCCGCCCGCCTCAGCCTCCCAAGGTGCTGGAATTACAGGCGTGAGCCACCGAGCCTGGCTAGGGCCCCTTTAGAGTCCCCAGCTCTGCAGCAGCCTTGGGGAGGCCCGTGGGGAGGACTGAGGCCCAGTGAGGGCCCATGGGCTGACCGGGACCCCTGCTGGTCACTGCGGCTGCCCCATGGGGAGGTCTCGGCGGGAGAAGCCTACCTGGTGCACGCCGACCGACTCTATTCCCGCTCCAACTTCAACAACTACGTGGCTGCGGTGTGCAAGGTGCTGGGGACCTTCCTGTTCGGGGCAGCCGTGAGCCAGTTTCTGACGGACCTGGCCAAGTACACGTTCGGCTGCTTGCGCCCCAACTTCCTGGCCATCTGTGACCCCGAGTGGGGCCGGGTCAACTGCTCGGTCTATGTGCAGCTGGAGAGCGTATGCAGGGGAAGCGCTGCTGACGTCACCAGGGCCAGGTGGGTGTGGACGAGCCTTCCCTCTGGGGGGCAGTGGGAGCTGAAGAAGCCCCAGAAGCCAGATGGTGAGGAGCCAGCAGGCAGGTGGTCAGGCAGGAGCAGGGCCCCAGGGCTCCCGGTGGCCCGCAGACAGCAGGAGGCCGGGGGGAGCGTGCTCTGTCTGCCCTGAGTCTCAGCCCTGCCCCCTTCTGCGCTGTCTTCTTACCATCTCTACTGATAGGTCCTTAAACGTTTCAACTCATCGTTGTCCTTTTTAAAAAATCAATATTGACTGACAAGCCTAGGGTAAGGTCAGACCAAAAAAAATAAATAAATAAAAATAAAATTTGTATAAGATAAAAGTCACCATTTCTTCCATTTTAATGTGTACGGTTCATTTTTAGTACATTCACAGTGCTGTACAGCCATCTCCTCTACCTAATTCCAGAATATTTTCATCTCATCATAAGGAAACCCCCCGGCATGGGTAACATGGCAAAACCCTGTCCCTAAGACAAATCAAAAAATTAGGCCGGGCTAGGTGGTTCACACCTGTAATCCCGGCACTTCGGGAGGCTGAGGCGGGCGGATCACCTGAGGTTGGGAGTCCGAGACCAGCCTGGCCACCATGGAGAAATCCTATCTCTACTAAAAATACAAAATTAGCCAGGCGTGGTGGCACACGCTTGTAATCCCAGCCACTCGGGAGGCTGAGGCAGGAGAATCGCTTGAACCTGGGAGGCGGAGGTTGTGGTGAGCTGAGATTGTGTCATTGCAGTCCAGCCTGGGCAACGAGAGTGAAACTCCATCTCAAAGAAAAACAAAAATTAGCCAGGCCTGGTGTGGGCACCTGCAGTCCCAGCTACTGGGGAGGCTGAGGCGGGAGCATCAGTTGAACTCGGGAGGTGGAGGTTTCAGTGAGCCAAGATTGTGCCCACCCCAGGCTGGGTGACAGAGTGAGACCCTGTCTCAAAGAAAGGAAAGGAAAGGAAACCACGAACCCCTGTACCCATTAGCTGTCACTCCTCCTCCAGCCCCTGGCAGCTGCCACTGTCCTATTTTCTGTAGATTTGTCTGTTCTCAATGTTTCTTATAAATGGAATCATACACTATGTGGTCTTTGGTGTCTGCCTTCTCTTTTTCTTTTCCTAATTTTTTTTTTTTTGAGATGGAGTTTTGCTCTTGTTGACCAGACTGGAGTACAATGGTGTGATCTTTCTTACCGCAACCTCCGCCTCCTGGGTTCAAGTGATTATCCTGCCTCTGCCTCCTGAGTAGCTGGGACTACAGGCACCTACCAATATGCCTGGCTGATTTTGTATTTTTTACTAGAGACGGGGTTTCTCCATGTTGGCCAGGCTGGTCTTGAAGTACTAACCTCAGGTGATCCGCCCACCTTGGCCTCCCAAAGTGCTGGGATTACAGGTGTGAGCCACTGTGCCCAGATTCTTTTTCTAATTAAAAAAATTTGGGGGGGGCTATGCAAGATGGCTCACACATGTAATCCTAGCACTTTGGGAGGCCGAGGTGGGCGGATCACCAGAGGTCAGGAGTTCGAGACCAGCCCAGCCAACATGGTGAAAACCCATCTCTATTTAAAATACAAAAATTAGCCGGGTGTAGTGGTGCATGCCTATAATCCCAGATGCTCAGGAGTCTGAGGCAGAGAATAGGTTGAACCTTGGAGGGAGGCAGAGACCGCAGTGAGCCAAGATAGTGCCATTGCACTCCAGTCTGAGTGAGAGAGTGAGAATCTGACCAAAAAAAAAAAAAAAAAAAA